TGACTATATTTTGAAAAATAAAAATTGAGGATTTGAGTTGATTTGGACACGATTTTGAAAACTAATCACATATTTGGACTCGTGGGGTTATGGGTAATCGGGATCTACCTCTTCACTCGGGTTCTGACCGTGTGGGCTCGAGGTTGACTTTTTGGGAATTGGGTAAAGATTGGGACTTTATTATTTTGAATTGAGTCATTTAGCTTTGTTTGATGTTATTGAGTCATTTTTTGCTAGATTTGAGCTCGACGGAAGTGATTTCATTTTTGGAGTATTAATTTGGTTTGTTTGAATGTATGTATCTTGCCTAACCTTGTGTGTGTGTGTGGGGGGGGGGGGGGGGGGATACCCCTTAGAAATTGGTCTTATTTGCTTATCTGTGCTATGTGAGAAGCAATGTGTACGCAAAGTGACAAGCATGTAGGTGGGTGCTATGTGTGGCTTATGACCAGATTAAGACCTTAGGCTATTAATATGCCTTAATTTAATGATGTGCCTTATATGAAACATGTTTAATCACTTTGTGATTACATGAATATGATCGTTGCAATTGACTAAGCCGTAGTCATGCTTTATATGTTGAACACCCATCCGCATTTTTATTATTGGCATGTCCTTGTGCACCTTGCAGATAAATTATGAGTTTATATCTTTGATGAAAATTTGGCATATTGATTTGTGATAATTATGGCACATGTGGACATGTTGAGCGGATTGATTGGGTATTGGCACGAGTAATTATTGTTATGCGCATGAGGCGAAATAAGGGTGGTGTTTGCTCGGGTTGCCCATACGGCGAAATAAGGGTGGTGATATGCGCTTGTGGCGAAATAAGGGTGACATTTATTGTTATTGCAAAGGGTATCAGTAATGATGGTGTTATGTGATGATTTGGGGGTGATTCTCTTGATGATGTTCTTGTGACGAAGCGAGGATGATATTTTGCTCATACACATGTTTTCTTTAAACACCGTCATGTAATTTTATGAGTTGCTAGTTGAATTTGACATGTTATTAAGTGCCTCCACTTCTATTTGATGATTTGATGTCAAAGATAAATTCTCCTAAGTTGAGTTGTTATCAAATGTTCTAACGATAATGATGATATTGTTTTCCGTTACATATTCTACTATAATGTTATTAATACTTTGCACATGTTTCCTTGACTAGTGAGTATCATATGACTTGAACCTCGCCACTACTTCACTGAGGTTAAAAAAACCTCGATACTTAGTGGGTACGGGATATGGTATACTCATACTACACTTCGACAAATTTTTGTGCAGATCTAGGTGTTGGAGATAGCGGACTTAGAGAGTGAGTGCTACACTGATCGCGAGGATTCAAGTAGAGCTGCATGGCTGTCGTAGTCCCTCGCAGTCTCATCCTTACATTGATAACGTTATTTTCATATCCGAACAATATTGTATTTGAGACATCCTTATGTGTTCAGTTAGAGCTCATGACTCTATACCACCTTGTTCTGAGAAGTTGTATTGAGTATTGCTATTTTTGCTTGTGTTAATTCTATTTCCACTTTTATATTAGATTCTGTCTTAATATCTCATGTCTTTTTGATTTAATGTCGTATAAGTGGTAGGCTTACTTAGTCTCGGAGATTAGGTGTCGTTACGACTCCTATAATTGAATTTGGGTCGTGACATTCCTATATCACTTTATCTTTGGCACAATGGAATAAAGTAAGTTAAAACGCATATATCATTAATTAAATAATGAGTAATAACTAGTTGGGGACTTTTTCCCGACTTCGGCTTGCCTTTGGCATTGAATAGTTTTTTTCTTAAACTTGATGATGATATTGTCCGAGCTAATTTGTGGCGTACCTTGCTAACCCACCAAACAGCCTATTACATTCCACAAGCACATGTGTCAGGTAAATCTTCGTACCAAAATAGGAACAAATAGGTGCCTCAACCACTAAACTGAGCCAACCCCTTGGAAACAACTTAGAAGATCTTTAACTGACGGTAGAAGTTGTGTTGTAATCAAGGAGCAGATTTGAAATCCATAAGGAATTTAAAAGATACGCGTAGCTTATATTGAGTGAGCTGGCATGTGAAACTTTGGGATAAGTGTTGGCTTTGTGAATATCCACAATGTTTGTTATTTTAACATTATGTTTATACCCCATCTGTTTTATTTTATAAGGTGGTATTCAACTGAACACAGTGTAAAAAAAAGACTTTATAACATAGCAAAAGTACTCCTAGAACTAGTGCTCTTAAACATGCAATGACATTTTTATGCCTGTAAGAGCATGTCATTAAGGGGAAACCAAATTATTATTTCATTTTTATGCTTCAATCATGCCTATATTCGTATTTGAACGAAGTTAAGTAATTTCATAGAATGAAAACTTAAATTCATCGGATATCTTTGTTTCTTGCGCAAGGGGGGAAGTGAGGAAGTATCTGAAGCTCGCTCGCAGTAAATAAGCTTTTTTCCCCTTAATGTAGTACCTCTAAAATTGCACAAGTTTAGTTTTTCTTCATGTTGTCTTTCTTTATTTTTCGTATTTGTTGTAACCCCACACTTTAGCTTCAACTTGATGCTCACTTACTTTAAAACAATTGTTTTAAAGATCACAAAAGGTTCTTGCATGAAAGGACTTCTCGTAAACTCAAACCTTGAGTTCAAGTTGTAGTAAAAAAACACATGGCAAGTGAAGAAAGTAGTATTCTAGCAAATAAAATTTAGCAATCAGTTTCAAAAGTTATGTAGTGCCATGCCTTTACTAAAGTATATTCTTTATGTAAGCCAATACTTTCCATAGTGAGTTATTAATGTTTAACTGGTATTAACAACAATAAGAAATGTTAACTAATTTGAGTAGATTTTACAAGATTGCCTACTTACTCCTCTGTCCCATGTTATGTAAGGGTGTTTGACTGTCACAGAATCTAAGAAAGAAAGAAAGACTTTTGAAACTTGTGAATTAAAACATGTCATAAGATTTTGTGGTTATAATTATCCTATTAAGGGTAAAATGGGCAATTAAGAGTTAATTATTTCTATACATAGAAAGGTGTCATTTTTTTCCGGATAGACTAAAAAGAAAAGAATATCACATAAATTGAAATAGAGGCAGTACTTTAATATCAACAGTCAAACTTAAAACATAAAACATGTGTATCCTACAAATTACTTAGACAACATTTCTTCCTAAAAAAATTGAGAATTAAAATCCCTAGCACCAAATATTATCTTCATTTTTCATACCTCTAGATAACTATAGCAAAGTAAGGTAGTAAAAGAGGAGATTTATTTCTTTGTAGGAAGGGAAAACGGAGAAAGTTTTGAACTTCTTTTTTTTTCTTTTGATAATCATGGTGTCCTAGACAGCTTGCGCACACCTCGACTAATTCTAAGGGATACCTACTACCTCCCACCAGTATCAGGTACCAGAAAACTATATCCTCCAAGACTTGAACGGATGGGAAGAAATCACTAGCATCAAGTACCAGGTAACTATATCCACCAAGACTTGAACAGATGGGAAGAAATCACCAGGGTTTTTGTCGTGAGACCTCAAGTTCTCAACCAACTCCATTGAACTTCTTTTCTTTTTTGATAAATGGAACAAGCAAATAAGCCAACCTTTTGCTTTTTCAACAACAACAACAACAACTATGACCGACTTCCAAACAAGTTGGAGTCGCTATATGAATCCTCAACTGATCATGTTACTCCCTTTAAACTCATCCCATGCATAGGAAAATTTAAAGTGTATTAATGGTTAATTTTACACAATTTCGTTGCACATTAGAATTAAAAACCAAAAAAGTCATTTTTTTCAAGGGCAAAAACTGCATAACCACATCTAGAAGGGGCGCCCATCAGCGAGGGCACTGATAAGATGGCATTTTCCCTTTATAAGTGGCTCTAAACCCTAAACCCCCCCCCCCCCGGCATCTCTCTGGTTTGAACTGGTGGCAGTACACGTTTTGGTCCAAGGCTCAAGTTAAGACCATTAGATTTCCCTATTTTAAGCTCTCCTACTTTTCTGCCACATTCATAGGTCCTCACGCAAAAGATTAAAAAAAAAAACCAAAATAATCTAAAGATGATATCTTCAATTGCACGACAGTTGCAATGATCAGTAAAGACAACAAATGATTATAATAGTCAACCAATAACAACTACGCAGGTCTGAAGATTCACACACTTACAATAGACCAGGGAAAAGTCCTGGCTGAGCAAATCTTAGCTATGATGGCAAAATAATGTAGAAGCAACAACATTATTTTTACTAAGACACTACATTGATCTACATGAAATAAATTGAATACTTGGGACACAGGCACACAGCAGCCTGAGCCAAGTATAATCAACTTTGTAAACTTCCCAAAAAGCATTTGTCCAGACAATTTTGCCAAAATATTTCACACAAACGCAGTATACATCCAAAATGATTCTTTGCAAGAGTTAAATTACAAGTTCACCAAGCGAATGCTTCTAGAACGTATTAAAAGACCAAGCTTTAGTGCATTTGAAAGTTATTTCTTAGTAAGCGAATTTCATAGTTTTATTGGCAATTCGACATATTTGTTTTTACGAAAATAGTCAAATTAACTAAAGAAGGATATAGAAACCAATGTTCACCGTGCCAGTGTGAAAAGAACAGAACCGTCAGAACTCAATTTCTGTGATCCATAAATCAATAAAGGAAGAGTCAATCCTAAATTAGTAATACTCAATCATATGAAATTCCGCTCTATTCATCCAATTAAATTTCTAGGAAACGAACTGAAAAATGCAGAAACTGATTCGATCAAATTACGAAATAGATCCAAAAGGACCAAAACAAATAGTATTCAAGAATTACGCACCAGAATTTGAACTCAGGGAGGCGACGAACGAAAGGGCGAAACTCATCGGAACCGCGGGTTGGGAGGGAAGGACCAGGACCATCGGCGAGTTCCGGATCCACTTGAGGGGAAAGGAAGGCGATCAGCAGCTGAAGGATGTAGATTCCTAGTCCGTACGTGATGATGTAGAATCCTTGAACGAAGTACACGCGTACGGCATAGATCAAAGCTATCACCGAGAAGGCGATCCAGCGGTGGCGGACATGCGGCGTTGACTTATCCAGAAGGTGCTGGTACCGCTGAGATACGGTGAAGAACCACTGCGACACGGTGGTCGAAGGTGAGGATACACCGTCGCCGGCGCCGGTTCCTCCACCGACATTCATTTTTTAGAGTTTGGTAATACCCTTCCTTTTTTTTTTTTTTGGTTTATTTCCAGTACTGGCGAGGATACCCCGGGCCCAACAATTATGTAGTGTTGTTGTTAACATGATTTATTTATTTTTTAAGAAATTCTTAAGTGGCTTTTCCTAGTTTTTATGTATGTATTTCACATGTAACATCTCAACTAAGAGAAGAGAGAAGAAACGGCGTAATACATACGGAGACATTTAAAGTTGGCACGATCTTTCACTTAGACACTTAAACTAGGCCTCTTTCCAATTAGACACGTTTTTTAGGCAATTCTCATACCAATTGGACATTTAAACTAGGCTTTAACCCATGACTTTTTTGGATAATATAACAAATCCCTACAAATATCCTTACAAATAAACTTAACTTCATAACTAAATTTAGAGCACCTCCAAAATTGTTTTCTCCTTTCCTCTCCTTTCCATTTCTTATGCCAATTAGATCAGATATGCCTGGCATACATCCTAAATTCAGCATTGGGTAAAACTTCATTCAAAGCTGCAGCAAATCCCTACACAATAATTAATAAGCCAGCAAAAAACGTGTCTAATTGGTATGAGAATTGCCTAAGAAACGTGTCTAAGTGGAAAGAGTCCTAGTTTAAGTGTCTAAGTGAACGTGCCAACTTTAGGTGTCTCCGTATGTATTACGCCAAAAGAAACAAAAAGAAAAGGCGTAATACATACGGAGACACCTAAAGTTGGCACGATATTTCACTTAGACACTTAAACTAGGACTCTTTCCACTTAGACACGTTTCTTAGGCAATTCTCATACCAATTAGACACGTTTTTTGCTGGTGGCATATAGCGTGACTTCAAACCTATTTAGGCGCGTGAAGGCTGAAAATTGGAGATTTTTCCTTTCCCAATTAGACAAATAACGGTAACATCCATTGTCAATTATTATTTAAACCCTAATCCCTTTCCCAATTCTTAAAAACCCTATTTGTTCGCTTCTCTTCTTCTCAGATTTCTCCAGCAATTCTCCTTCAATTCTTGTCAATTCTTTTCTTTTCTTCTCTTCTTTCTCTTATTTCTGTTCTGTTCTTGGTATCAATTAATTTCTTCTCTTCTCTTCTTCCTCTCATTTCTGTTGCTACCGTGTTTATGAATGTCGAACTTATCGGAATTGACGAACTCTTCAATGTCACCTTGCGTTGCCGCTCGAATCTGTAAGTGTGGTGTTTCTCCAAAGTTGAATACTTTTTGGACCCAATTAAACCCAGGTGGTAGGTTTTTTGCTTGCAAAATCGAAAAGGTAAATTGTTTGTTCATAATTTGTAAATTATGTTTTATGAATTATTTTCTTTGATAAAAATTGATTAAAAGTGTTTTGTGATATTTGTAGAAAAAGGGTAGATGTGATTATTTCTGTTGGTATGACGATGAGATGCCTACTCAAGCGAAGAATATAATTTGGGGTTTATTAAAGAGAGTCAAAGCTTTTGAAGATGAGAAAGTTCGAGCAAAAAGAAGACGGATCGTTTTGACGATATTGTTGGTCGTTTTATGGAAACTGTATGACTGATGTACTTTGGTTGTTGTAGGTGTTGTTGGTTGTTTTAGGTGTTGTTGATTAATATGTAATGTTGGTGATGTTGCTTTAAACTTCTGTTTAGAAACTGTTGTTGTAATATTCAGCTGAATTTTGTTATAAAATTATGAATTTTGTTATAAACTTCTAAATTTTGAAATTGCTGTTGTAATATACAGCTGCTGAATTTTGAAAGTGTTGTAATATACAACTTCTGTATAAGGCATAGAACCACAAGATGCAGTTTCAAAATTCAGAACATATAGACTGAAATTGCTGCTATATAGACTAATTATTCAGAACATAGAGCAACTATTCTGCCAAAACAAACAAAATAAGGCTGAAGTTGCTGCTACATAACATATATCCAAAACAGAACAGTAACATCACACGACTGAATACAACCATTAAAGTTTAGTTCTTTCAAAAACTAGATCCCAAAATATAATAGGTTGTTGCTACATAACATATAGACAAAATAAGTTCAAACTTCTTGCTGAAGTTTGGCTTCATCTGCTGCAACTGGGAAGTTGTGACAGCATCTTGACCCTTCCACCTCAAGCCTCTAGCCTTAAAACCAAGGTCAATTCCTGTTGGAGCTGCACTCTTATAAGTTGAACCACTTGCAATAACTCGTTGGCTTGATGTTCCGGGCTGCAGTTTGCCAAATAATGAACCACAATCAGTAAGTTATTTCTAAGTCATATTATAGATGAAATATGTATGAATATATACATTTAGTATTTGAGCTCCACTTGCAGCTGTGTAGATGCCAAATCCAACATTTTTGGACCTTTTTTGTGCTCCTTTTTCAGCATCTTCTTTACTTGCACCCCTTCCTCTCTTTTGGCTGGTAGTTGCTTTACCCTTTGGAGGAAGTTGACTACCTAATCCTCTTCTAGCAGGCCTGCTCGAATCTGCTAAACTTGATGTTGGTTGGCTTGAGCTTCTAGCTTCATTAACCCTTCTAACCCTTGTTGTATCAAAACACACAAAGTTTGTAGGTTGTTGAGCTTCCAGCTGCATCAGGTTGACTAGCACCTTGTGAGCTTTGGCTACCTTGCTGTGAAGGCATCCAATTTTTAGCCTACATAACGTTGAGCAATAGATTACATAACAGTGATGGAAACAGATTACTAGATTCATATGAACAACAGGAAATATGTGATGGCAACAGGAAATATTTGACAAGAAATATTTTACCTTACAATATCTTTTGTTATGTCCTTGTTGATGGCACTTGGAACATGTCATTTCCACTCCACACTTGGACAACTTTCCATATTTGTTTTTTGGTTCATCTTTGCCTTTTCTTCTGTTCCTTTGAGGTCTTCCAGGCATGGGTTTAGGTTTGGGAGGCTCTATCTTAGAATTGTTGGTTTCAGGCCACATCTTCATATTTGTCATAGGCTGGATGAAATACTTGTATGCTTTTAAGAAGGTATCCCTCTTATACCAATGCTCCACTGCCTGTTCAGGTTCTTCGTTTATGTGACAGTATGCAAGAACAGCATGTTGACATGGAATACCCCTCAACTGCCAAGCTCTACAAGTGCAAACCTTATCAGTCAGATTAACTACATGCTTATGCAGTCCTTCTCCAATCTCAAATCCAACATCAGCATTCCAAAGGACAGTACATTTTCTAGAAAGCTCTTTGCTATCCTCTAACAATAGCCTTGCCATAGGTGATATATCAGATATCCAAGTATCAGCAAATCTCAACATATCCACCTGCCTAGTCATTATTCCTTCTAATCTCCTCCAACATAGTTATAATTGATTTATGCCTAGAAGCTAAAATACATGAATTAAAGGTCTCACACATATTATTTTCAACAACATAACACTTGGAATGCACTTCAAAATAAGCTCTAACCCATGACTTTTTTTGGATAATATAACAAATCCCTACAAATATCCTTACCAAGTTTGTCCATTTTATCAAGCTCCTCTTTAAACTTAACTTCATAACTAGATTTAGAGCACTTCCAAAGCTATTTTCTCCTTTCCTCTCCTTTCCATTTCTTATGCCAATTAGACCAGATATGCCTGGCACACATCCTAAATTCAGCATTGGGTAAAACTTCATTCAAAGCTGCAGCAAATCCCTACGCAATAATTAATTCAAATTACAGTAGCATATTACTACAATAGTAGAATACTTAACATCAGAATTACTTAACAGCTAATTACTTAACAGCAACAGAATGCTAAATGAATAGCTAATTATTACTAACAGCTAATTACTTAACAACAGCAGAATGCTAATGAACAGCTAACTACTACAACAACTACTTACTCAACAAAATAACAGAATACTTAATTACTTAACAAAATAACAGAATACTTAAGTACTTAACAACTGAACATATCATATTAATGAACAACAAATACCAGAATTACCTTTTGCATATCTGCCATCACAGTCAATCCTTCTCCAGTTCCCAATTGCAAATCATCTTTCAAGTAGTTGATGAAAAAACTCCAGCTATGTTTTGTCTCCTAGTCCACAACTGCCCATGCTATAAGAAATATTTGCTGATTTCCATTCTTGCCAATAGCAACTAGAAGTTCACCTTTATAAGCACCCTTTAAGAAACAACCATCAAAACCTATGATTCTCCTACATCCTTCTAACCAACATTTCTTCAATGCATCAAATTACACATAAAAGTAAACAAAGAGATTTTTTCCTAGCTCAGTTTCACTGTCCATCCTTACCCAACATGAGCTACCAGGATTGGTCTGTTTTATCATATCAGCATAATCACATAACCTTGCAAACTCCATATTCCAATCACCCATGAACTCTCTGAGAACACGCAGTTTAGCCCTATAACAAATTGTCTTGCCAACATACAATCCTAGCCTGTCCCTACACAACTCCTGTATTTCCCATATCCTTATGTGGTGCTGCTTAGTTATTTCATCTTTGAATTTCTTTGCAACAAACTTTGAAGTGCACAACTTATTCTTGTTTGAAGTATCACATTTGTGTACTGGGTAGTAGTTCTTTACTTTAAAATCACCCGAATCTCTATCAATACAAGCATAGCACACCCATTTGCATCTCTTTGATTTACACTTAGCCCTCACCCTATGTGGTTCATTTGGTCTCAATTTAATCTGCACCTTGTACTCAATTGCATAATTTGCTAATGCTTTCCGAAACTCTATAGCATTCTCAAAAATCATCCCAAGTTCAAATATAGCAACTTCACAATCAGGATCATACCTGACTTTTGTACTCCTCCTTCTTGCTGGTATATCAACACCAGGAATAGCTTCAGGATCTAACTCTTCTGTGCTATCTTCACTATCAGCCTCTGAACTATCAATAAACTGCTCATCACCACCTAATTTACCTACATATCTTGAAGTCTTGTTTCTTCCAATATCCTCAAATCCTCTGTCAATTCCTGCTTCTCCTAGTGGTATCTCATCTGTTGCAATTGGTTTTTTTCTCTGCTTACCCGGCCTCTTGCTCCTCCTTTCAGCCCTTAAAGATC